AGTAAGAGTGTGTGTGTGTGTATGTGTGTTGAGAGTCTGGAAAATTCTGCCCACCACACCCTGCAATATAGCTTCCTATTTAAGAGTTAAAAGATAAGGGCCTACATAATTGGAGCCACCTGCTCTCCCCCATGTCTCATGCTTCCCTATTACATCTCTAACCTTCTTTCTTGTTAGTCTCCCTCTGGTCACCCATGTTAGTCTCTTTGCTATGCCAGACATATTCCTAATTTAACGTCTCTGCTCAAATCTTTGCCTGAAAGGCTCATCTCTTGGCTACTTACTTTAACTCCAATCTTTGCTCAAGTTTCCCTTTTTCAATCAGACATAGCCTGCCCACCCTACATACCCCACCACCTTGCATTCTTGCTCCAGGCCCTGACTGCCTTCACCTGGCTTGTTCTACTTTCTTACTTATTGCATGTATCACTTTTAGCATGCTGTATAATTTGTAATGTTTATTGTCTGCTCCTCTTTGCTAAAATTAAAGGTAAAAATCCCTGAATATTTTATTCATTGAAGTATTCTAAGCATCTAGCATAGTGCTTGGCACAACACAGATGATCAATAAGTATTTACTGAATGAAGTTTCAGAAAACTCCAGATTCTGTTTTCTGCATATCTTTGTGTGCATTAGGTTGTGATGTAAAGTATATTTCTTACTGAAGATACAGTCAAGAGAGTGTGAAAATGACCGGAGTTGAATTATATGACCTGTAAGGTCCTTTCCAAATTTGGGCACTTATAAATTTGCATGTGCAACCAGTTGGGAGATGGTAAGGTTCATAAACTAGTGACTAGAGAAAGGGTCTGAGCAATTTAAATATAATTTTAATCACACAAAAGTTAAATAGTTATCCTTATCAAGTCTGTAATTGTGGATTAGGAAAGACTGTGGAAACAAGAAAACTTGCTGAATGCAACTTAAATAGAAAAATCTAAAAGTAATCCTTTTCACAAAATGAGGCTTTAGAGTAAATAAGATAAATTTTTTCAGATCACTTGCAGTCACTTACTGAAGAAGTGGAGAACACTGAAGGAAGACGTCACTCAGAGTCTCTGCTATAGAAATTGTGACCCGAACGGACGCTGGAAGCAAAGACCACTTCCTGAGTATGTAGGACTTCCACTCTTCCACAGGCAAATCCATGCCACCTGGGATCTGTAAAATGAGTGAGATAATATGGGATCAGAGTTCCATAAATGCACAATGACAGAAAATCAGGGTCGTATCCAAGCAAGGGGAAAGAAACAAAATTAATTCTCTGGGTCTAACAGTTGCGTTGGCTTCTGTGTCTGAGGAAGTATCTACATTTTCTCACACCAACTCACTCAGCTAACTGAAAGTCTATTAAGTTCCAGGTTCCAAGCATGGTGATAGTTAGGCGATGATGAATCTGAATAAGCTACCACCGCTCTTCCCTTGGAAGCCCTGTCCACCCCAGGTGTTCAAGTCAGAACCTGTGAAACACCAGATTTTTTTGTTCCTTCCCTTATTCCAGCAACTATTCAGGTAACAAACATTTCTCTTTTACGTTGTTCTGTTTTCTCTTTCAATTCCCAGCTTATTTGTCCCATTCAGGCCCTTACCACCTCTTGTCTGACTTTTGTTCTGGTGTCTTTACATTTCATCTTAGCCAAAAGGCTGGGAAGCGATTCTGTTATCTTAGTCTTCCCGACCTCAGTTTTCCACTAGTTCAATCCGTCCTTCCCACTGAGATAACAGCCAGTACTTAAGCTCATCCATACTCTTCCTAGAAAACCCGGAGGGCCAGTAGCAACCCTGTATTATTTGGGCCTGGGCTTCCTAATTCTCAGGTGTACATCTTCTGTATCTCACCGTACCGAACCACTCATTCGTGGCCACCTCCTGTCCCGAGACTGCCAGGCTATTGCAGCTCTCCAACATGTTTGCACAGGGCATTCGTTCTGCCAGAAACATCCTACCCTTCCCTGGCCTACACCAGGCACATCCTTCCAGATTCCGTGCACAGGTCCCATCTTTCTGGAAGCCCTCGCGACCTTCCACCTGGGATTCCAGTACATTTTGTGTCAGCCACGGGGCTGGGTATGTTTCTACTTTTAGTTTGGGTTACTCACAGTTGATACTTTGCCGACGGACTGTGCTCCCACCCCTTAAAGGGCAGCAGCTGGGTCTTATTTACCTTCAGCCGCCTCCCCACCCCACACAGTGCCAAGTTCAGGGCCTGGCACCAGCAGCCTCAGCAGTCGGTTGTTCAAGTCACCAGGTTGCAGATTTGTCTATATTTAGCAGCTCTAATTCTCCTGGGCGGCCACTCGGCCTTCCTAAGGTTCAGGGAACTCGCCGGGAGAGCGCGGGGAACTGGGCCACAGGCGTTCTTAGTTAAGAGAAACCGCGCCACCCTTGGCGCGCGGCTCCGCTCGGCGCTCCGCCCCCAGGCCCCGCCCACCCGCGACGTGACCGACGCCCAAGCGCCCTTGGGCGGGTCACGTGGACCGAACGCCACGTCTCCGCCAATGCGGTTGCTGCTAGAGCCCTGGACCCGCCCCCGAGACGACGCACGTCCGGAGGCGGAGTGGCGCGCGCAACTCCTCGGGCCAATCGGGTGGGAGCGCGCGGGACCCCGGGAGCGGAGTCGGGTCCGGGGAGAAGCCGGAGCGCGGGAACTAGCGTCGAGGAGACATGGCCAACCAACTGAGCGAAGGGGCCATTGTGGTGAGCAGGCTCCTGGGAGCCCAGCCGGCTGGAGGGGGGACGGGGAGTCTGGATGAGTGCGGAGTGCAGGGGTGTGTGTGTGTGTGCGTGCGTGTGTGTGTCGTGGGGGTGGGTCTAGAGAACTTTGCAAAGGGCGGCGGGGAAGCGCCGGGGGTGTTCCGTCTCGTCCATTACTTGCTCCTTAAGAAGGGTTTTTCCATCGTGTTTTGAACATGCTCACGTTTTCCTACTTACGAAACCAAACCCAAACCAAACTCTTTGCTCCCTGCCGCTGCCACCGTCTCTTCTCCTTCCCCGCTCCACTGACAAACTTGGGCCTTGTTTGCTTTCAGCTAGTTAATTTCCTGGCCGCATTAACTCGTCCACGCGCTTCAGCCAGCCATCCCCGGTTCGCGGTAGAAATAGATCTGTATGAGGTTAGTGATGGGCCCTGGTCGCCACCTCCGTCAGCGAGCTCCTTTTCCGTTTTCATAACTGGGTGCTCTGCAACGGTCGAGAACGTCGCTTCCTTGCGGTTGGTTACAGTAACTCAACTCCCTTTAGTTTGGAGGCCTTCTCCCAAGCGAACCCCATATCCGGCTGTGTGTCAGTTATTCACACCTTCTTGGTCCCGAAGCTGCCTTTACATAGAAAACTAACCTCTTTGATCTGCCTGCCTACCTAAGAATCTCAAACTCAACACGTTCCAAAGCAAACCCGTATATTCTTTAGTCTTGCTCTTTCAATGTTTGTTTTCTTCATAAGTGGTTCCAGTGCAGCTGACCTGAGGGTAGTTGGGTGAAAGCAGTAAGTATGCTAATGTGAGGAAGAGAGATCAATGGGGGGCTTTGGCACCCCAAAGTCATTTATTCTGCCTGCCAGGAGCCCTAAGGAGCTCTGGTGGCATAGTGGTTACGCATGTTGGGCTGCTAATCATGTCAGCAGTTCGAAACCACCAAATGCTCCTGGGGAGAAAGCTGGGGCTTTTTCCTCCTAAAGAGTTGTAGTCTCAGAAACTCAGGGTTAGTTCTGCCCTATCTTCTAGGGTCTCTAGGAGCCAGGATGCACTCAGTGGCAGTGAGTTTGGTTTTTTTGTTGGACCAGGAGCCCTGGTGGCATGGTGATTACACGTTGGGCTGCTAACCACAAAAGCAGCAGTTCAAAGCCACCACTTGCTCCTTGGGGGAAAAAGAAAATTTTCTACTCTTGTGAAGACAGTTTCAGAAACCCCCAGGAGCAGTGCTACCCTGCCCTATACGATGACTACTAGGAGACTGACCTCGGTGGCAGTGAGTTTGACTACATCATGAATGAAGGAGGGAGCTTCAGTGGTCCTGTGGGGTAAGACTTGCACTGCTAGGTGCAAACTTGATCATTCAAAACCACTAGCTGCCCCTTGGGAGAAAGACGAGCTGTCTGCGCCCCATAAGGGTCTGCAAAGCCTCAGAAGCCTTATGCAGTCTAGTGTTGCCGTGAGTCAGAATGGACTTGCAGGCAGAAGCTGGTTTTTGTTATTGCCTGAGGGCGTCTTCATCCTCTTTCTCACTACTAACCATCTTCAAATCCCAGCTCAAGTGGGACCTCCTCAGGGAAGTTTTCTTTGACTTCCCTTATAATGTAAGATTACATTTTGCGTACCCAGGTTTTTTCAGCAGGAGAAGCACAAGGCTTTCGACTCCCCTAAAGAGGTGTAGCCTTGAAAACCCACGGGGCAGTTCTACTCAGCCCTATAAGGTTGCCATCAGTCAGAATGGACGTGTTGGCAGTGAGTTGGGTGTTTTTTGGTTGTTTTTTTTGGGGGGTGGTGGTGGTGTAAGTTTCTTCACTTACTAGCTGTGAAACTTTGGGCAAGATATTAAGTTTTTCTTTGCCTCTTTCCTCTTCTGTAAAATGATGGTAAAGATACGAAGTACCTATTGCATAAGGTTAGTGGGAAGATGAAAAGAATGATGACTTGAAGGGGTTAACCCCGTCAGTGCCTGATACATACATAGTACCTGCTCCAATCACTTACCTATTTTTAACTTTTATTCGTTTTCTTGTTGTTGAGCATAAGCGCAGCAAAACACACAATGAACAGTTTCTACTCGTACCATTCCGTGACATTGATGGAGTTAGTTGTATGACCATTCTTAACCTCTTTTGCCGATGCTACCTATTTTTTACAATCAGAGATGTCATTTTATCTTTATTTTGTTGTTTGCCCAGTATCCCTTCCTTCCTGTTTTTCCCTACACAGCCATGTTCAAGGTGCCAGTAATCCACTTGGCTTTTTGCTCAGCATGAAATTGCTTGCTCTGCTCCAAGTTCTGGGGCTACTAAGTATGCAGTATATGTTAATTGCATGAATAAGCTTTCAGTGGTGAATAGAAAGGGGTAGTGAGGCCTGGGGGTGAGGGGGAGCTTAGGGGAGTCCAGGAGGGGGAGCACAGTTGGTGAAGCCCAGTCAATATTGACCTGAATTGGGGGTGCATGATTGTTGAGACCTGCAAAGTGATGGCAGATTGTCATCCTTGTTCACTTGATAGCGGCAACCTCACACCTTTATATAAGAAAATTATGAATTGTTCACTCTTAAAAGGAACCATCATGGAGTTCCTTATATTTGTGTAGTGATTTTCCCCCCACTTGTATAAAAAATTTTAGAAATATTTCCATCATTAAAAGTATTAGTTGAAAATACTACTACTTGAGTTTACTCAAATAAGAAAGGAAATGTGTGTGTGTCTGTCTGTCTGTCTGTCTGTCTTGGCAGTGTGTGGAGAACCTTTGTCAACCTTTGATTACCAACTAAAACAAGTACCATTTTTATGCAAAAGACACAGATAAATCTAAGAGTAAGAAAAAAAATTAGCAAAAGCTTTTGGGGCAAGATATAACATGGAACTCCTGTGATTAATAGAATAAATTGTATTTGTATATTAAGTAACTGGATTATAAAAAGAAAGGGGAAGGAACTGATATTAATTTATTTTTTTCAGTGTACCAGGTAGGTCCTTTGCCACAATAATTTGTAGTTATAATGATCCTCTCCGGTAGTTTTTGATCATCACCTCCGTGTTTGCAAAACTCAAGGACAGAGTAGAGCTGCCTCGGTAGATTTCCAAGGCTGTAAATCAGTGGTTCTCAACCTGTGGTTTGAGACCCCTTTGGGGATCGCAGGACCCTTTCACAGGGGTCGCCTAAGACCATCGGAAAACACATTATTTCTGATGGTCTGAGGAACCGAGACACCGCTCCTCTATTGGTCCGCCCACGTGTAGATATGCCCACGTGAGTACCCAGCATGAGACATCATCGTGCCAACCCCGTCACGTATGCCCTGTACAGATACAGGTGTATGTGACAGGGTTGGTGCCATAATGTACTTATGCTGACCAGTTACATGTGTAGAGAGCAGCTACTATGTAGAAAGCAGCTGCTGTGTTGAAAGCAGCTGTATTGGGTGTAAAATGACACTTCATGAATTACAATTACAGTGTTGGTAGACTTGTTGTGGAAGGTTATCTTCGTTGTGCTCTTGCAAAGACTACAATTTCTGATCTGGTGAGAAAGAAGCTACAGGTATCTCAACCTTTGCAGTGTCGTTGGCTTTTTATGCATACTGTCGCAAAATGTAGCAATGCAGTTTATTGTTAAGATTGTTACCCATGCTACACCATGCTTAAAGACAAAATATCATTTGTAATTAGAAATAAATTTCACAATACATACCTTATTTACTTGAGTATAAGCCGACCCAAATATCAGCCAAGGCACCTAATTTTAACACAAAAACTGCATAAAAAATGTGCTGAAAACTCGGTTTATACACAAGTATATATGGTAATTACAGATTGTTTTTGTGATTAATCACTGTGCTTTAATGATGTTCAATTTGTAACAATGAAACTACATCCTGCATATCAGATAATTACATGATGATTCATAACAGCAAAATGACAGTTATGAAGTAGCAACGAAAATACTGTTATGGTGGGGGGGGGTCACCACCACATGGGGAACTGTATGAAAGGGTCGTGGCATTAAGAAGGTTGAGAACCGCTGCTGTAACTGCAGGCGGGAGCAGAAAGCCTTGTCTCCCTCCCACAATGGGAGGGAAGACTCTTAACTGCTGGCGATGTGATGTGGTGAGAGGGCCAGAGCAACCCCCGAGACCACCAGTAGTCCACACCCCTGGATTACAGTTGAAGAACTTAAGTGCCGAGACTTTCAGCCCTTTATCTATCGGGTGATGGTCCCTTGCCAATTCATTTGCCTTTGACGATTGCATATCGTGGTGTTTTGTTGGTGGGTGGTGGTGGTTGTGTGTGTTCAGGGGGAGTAAAATATATGTTATAAAACTTATTATTTTGCATCCTAGTTCTTTCCTCTGTGTTCTTTTATTTTCCTCTTGTCCCGCTATCATGCTCAACCTTCATTTGGGCTTCAGTAATGTACACGAGTACAGATAGGAACTGGAAACATAGGGAATCCAGGACAGATGAATCCCTCAGGACCCGTGAGTGGTGAGAGTGGCGATACCGGGAGGGTGGAGGGAAGGTGGGGTAGAAAGGGGAAACCGATCACAAGGATCTACATATAATCCTCTCCGTTGGGTATGGACAACAGAAAAGTGGGTGGAGGGAGACGTCGGACAGTGTAAGACATGACAAAATAATAATTTCTAAATTATCAAGAGTTCGCGAGGGAGGGGAGTAAGGGGGGAGGGGGGAAATGAGGAGCTGATACCAAGGGCTCAAGTAGAAAGCAAATGTTTTGAGGATGTTGATGGCAACATATGTACAAATGTGCTTGACACAATGGGTGTATAGTTTGTGATAAGAGTTGTATGAGCCCCCAATGAAATGATTAAAAAAATATATATCTAGGTACTCAGGACTGAACCAATTAAAACAAGAACTTCTCATGGGAACCATTTTAAGTGTACTGGCATTGCATTCTCGTGATGTGCAGCCGCCACCACCACCAGTTAGAAAGCATCACCCGAAACAGGAACTGGCCGTGCGTCCTCTGTGTTT